AAGCGCACTGTTACTATTACAAGCTGAACAGACTGTCGATATGCTGTATCATAAATCATCCCCTTCTAATTCTTTTTATTATTTTTTCTCTCTCTCTCTCTTCTTTTTTCCAAAATTATTTTATTAATATTTATTAATATTTATGATTGTTATTAATTTGTTTGTTCAATTTATAGTAATTCCTGGCTTGATATTTTTCTCTATTTTGTTTTGGTTTTTATAATGTTACAGTCATAACTTTTCTGGGTTTTTTGTCCTCTTTCTTTTTCTTTCTTTTACTTATTTCTTTTTCCTTCTCATTCATATTTCTCTCTCTTTTTCTTTCTTTCTTTCTCTCCCTCTCTCTCTCTCTCTCTTCGTTTTAGCATCGCATTTTTGTGTAATAACTAACACAATTAAAATAAGAACGCGTTTTGTCTTGAGAATTTGCGCCTGCTTGCCTACAGATATACACAAACATACAAACATGCATACAAACATACATACATACATACATACATGCAAACAAACAAACAAACATACATACATACAAAAAAACATACATACACACACACATACACACACACATACACAGGCGTACACCCAAAGATACATTAAATGCGATTAAAATTAATAAGCTCGTTAAATTGGGACGCCATCTTTAATACCATCTCGTTGAAAAATGCCGATAAAAATAATAACAATAATAATAACAAAAACAATAACAATAATAAAAATAATAATAATAATAGCAATACTACTACTACCACTAATAATAATAATAATAATAATAATAATATTGTGGTGTGGTCGCAACGATGTTTTGTTGGCTTCCGTAGCGTTGAAGCGTTATAAATCATAGACTAATCAGCTATCTCATCAGTTTATTATTACTGTTATTGTTATTATTACCATTATTATTATTATTATTATTATTATTATTATTATTATTGTCATTTTTGTTATTATTTTTAGTAGTAGTAGTAGTAGTAGTAGTAGTAGGTAGTAGTAGCAGTAGTATTATTAGTGGTGTATTAAAAGTTATGGTGATAGTGTTAAAATTCTTGGTAGTAACTGCAGCAGCAGAAGCAGTAGTAGTAGGAGTAACTGCAGTAACTGCATAACAAGTAATGGTAGTAGTAATTTTTATTATTTATATTATTCTCCAATGTTTAATAAAATTTCACTTTGTTTATTAATTAGCTTATCAATCACACCTACCTATTCAAAACATGGCACATCTAATCTTTCTCTCTCTCTCCTCTCTCTCTCTCTTTCTTTCTTTCTTTCTCTTTCTCTTTCTTACGGGTGTTAAAAAGTTCACATGCGCGCACAAACACGTGCTCACACACCCACACACAGACAAATGCGTATACACATGCGTACACACATACACACACACATGTATTCATATGTCATATGTATTTATAATAATTACAAAGACAGTAAGAAAGAGAGCGAAAGAAAGAAGGAAAAAAAGAAAAAAGAGAGAGAGAGAAAGAAAGGGAGAAAGGGAGAAAGAAAAACAGACATACAGATATACATACAGATATACAGACAGACAGATATACAGACAGACGGAATTATTAAAGTCTGGTTCCACCCAGTTTCGCGTGTGCAACATACAGGAATGGATAACTTTTTTGAAAACTACATCAAATTAATTGAAAGTGCTGACAACCGATGGACTAACAAACAACTTAACAATTGTAATAAAAAATAATTACAAACAAAAGAACGATAATTAATATAATAATAATTATTATTTTAATAATACAAGAATTATTATTTTAATAATAATAATAATTAACTTTAAAAATTAACTTCACAGCCAAACTAACCGTTAAATCGGCTATTCTCAATAGCTTCTCTCTTCAAATCAGGATCACTTTTTATAGGAAAACTAGACATAGTGTAGACGATATCAGAGGCTGGAGTCTGCGGTTTCGGACTAGTACTGCTACTCTTGTGGTGGTTGTGTCTAGACATGTGTCTGTCTCTGCTGTTCGTTGTGCTTCGGTAGTTTCTCGACGGTTTTGTTGTCGGACGAAATGATTTTGTCGTTTTAGAGGGATTGAGACGCAGAAATACTAGATAGGTTTCTCCTTTTGATAGGGTCTGAAGCGAGGCAACGCATTCGTTTGGATTGGACGTCGGGCCGAATTGGCCGACTTGCACCATTATCGGGTGACGAGATTTCGATTGTTGTGTTGTTGTCGTTGTCTGTTGCTGTGTCGTTGTTTGTTGTTGTTGTTTAGAATGGTGTTGTCTCAGTTTTTTGTTGTTGTTTTGTCTTTTGCTTTGGTTTTTGTGCGTGTGCGTTCTGTGATTTTGGTTGTTATGTTGGTGATGGGGATTGTTGTTGTTGTTGCTGTTGTTGTTGTTGGCATGGTTTCGCGATTTAACGCCACGTGTTGAGATGGCTTGTTGTAGTAAGTTGTGGTTGCTGTGGCTGAGTTTTGAGCGCTTGCCGTGATGATGTGGATGATTATTATTATTATTATTCTCGTTGAAGTAGTTTATACTATTTGAGTTGTGAGGATGATTGTGACGGGAGCGGCGATTGTTGCTATCAAAATCCTCTTCATTAAAATATTCATTACCATAGCTGGGATTATTGTGATAGTAAAAATTATGAGTAAAAATAGTAGCAGCAGCAGCTGTAGTAGCGGTAATGGTGGTATTATTATTATAACTACTACTACTACCACTACTTGATGACGTCAGGGTTTGAAGACTCTGAAACTCGCCCTTTATGAGGGTTAAGACCTTGAACTTCACATTATGAAACCCGGGCTTGTGTTTTATCGCTATACTCCGGTGCATTTGACCTTCAAAAACTATGTCTGCCATGACCGTCCTTGAGGCCACGTCCTCAAACTCCGAACCACAGGTGCGGCTAAAAGCGCTCTGTAGATAGTAGATTAGTAGTCCTAGGACTGTGTATCTGATACGGCAAATGTGCATAGCTTGTTATGGATTGCTAGCTAAATTTATTAGAAAAAAAATTATGATTGGTGAATGAGTTTTGGGGGGTGATGGTGATTTGTGGTCGAATTTTTGGGGAGAATGATGATTTGTGGATTGATTTTTTTAAGATGGATTGATGTTATCTGGGTGAAGTGACTGTTGATGATTAAATTTCCTGGAAATATGATGACTATTTGGTGATTTTTTGGGGAAAAATGGTGAAAGGAGTGGTCGAATTTCTGTTGAAAATTGTTGAAAAACACTTGAGAGAAAGATGGCAAATGAAGAATTTTTTGTCTGACGAGTAGGTTTTTTTATCCTTCTTTGCTCTTCTTTCCCCTGAATTGAATTGTATTGTATTAAACGGTACAATTTGTATTGTATTTACATCGTTTCGTCTCGTTATCGGCATCGTATAGTTTTACATTTGTGTATTAGTTAATTTTTTTAATCAATGAATTAATTAATTTTTTTGAGAGAATGAAAAAAATATTTAAAAATATTAAAAAAAAATTAAATCTCAAATCAAATTAATGAATTATGAACCAGTTACGAAAAGAGTCAATGTACCAAGTTTAATATTCTGCAAAAAATGACAGTCACAGACATGAATAAATATGAATATTCATAAAAAATATTGATAATTATAATTAAATAATTAAATATAACTAAAATAATATATATATATATAATATATAATTAAATAAAAAACTTTAATTCTTTGGAATAAAAAGTTTCTCAAAAAACGAAAAAACAATTCGAATTGAGTGTGCAAGTAAATCAGTTTGGTTCCCATTTCATGGCACTCCAAAAAGCAAGGGCTCAACATTAAACTAATCTCAAAAAACAACAATAACAACAACAACAACAATAATAATAACAATAACAATAACAACTATAATAATAATAACAATAATAATAATAGTAATAGTAGCGGTAGTAAAAACGAACAACAGCTCACTTCAAAATTACATAAACAAAAACACACAAACACCTACACAGACATACATACATACACAACACATCCATAAAAAGACACACACAGACATATACATTCAGACACACACACACACACACACTCACACATACATTCAGACACACACAAACACATACACACACACATTCACAGGCACATAAATGCATCGTTGTAATCATTACATAAAGTAGATAAGAAGACAATTCTTTCCAACCTATCT